TCTGAATGTGCCTATTCCACGGGGCCACTGCAAGGATTCAGTGAGATTCTGTGTATTGCTCAGCACAGGGTTTGTCTGGTACCTCAAAGGCATCTGTTGAATGGTAGCTGTGATGGGAAAGGTACAGGGACGTCTTGGGGGGACACAGTGAGGAGGGAGTGAACACAGATGGGTCTCCATCACCTCAGTGTAGAAAGAGCTGGGGTACAGGACCTCAGCAGAACATAGCACACAGCAAGTGCTCCCTAAACACTCAAGCGTTTCATTGGAGACTTGCCATCCACTCGCATATGTCCCAGTTCTCTTAGCTTTGTGAGATTCCATTGTTCAAGTCAAATGTCTGAAATCTTAAAACACTAGAAAATTAGTCTACAAAAATCACTGGAATGTTTACTTCTTGAACTGCTCATTACACCTCTGCATAAAATGTAGCCTTGTACTCTCTCCTGAAGCAGGTCTAATTGGAAGGATAAAATATTTAAATCTTTGCAATGGAAACCTGAAGTACAACAAGACAAACCCTAAGATAACAGACAATTTGTATTTTAATGATAATTCTTGCTTGAAGGAAAAGAAGCACTCATTGGCTGAAGAAAATATTCTCCAAGAAGCAGACTGCCAGATTCCCTGGAATTCTATTTTTCTGGACAGTGATATGTTCCTCTGGGGATGGACAATTTCTGCTAGTCTCTTGCGGAATTCTATTTTTCTGGACAGTAATATGTTCCTCTGGGGATGGACAATCTCTGCTAGTCTCTTGCGTATCTGTCAGAATGAGGCCCTTCCCCGTAGCTAAGAGAGTTTCAGGAGATAAAAAAATCACCTCTCCAATACGAAGAGATGTCTTTTGTGTCTTTTTCCTCCTGAAAAATGATTGAAATGCAAATTAACTGAGTCTCTCAAGGTCCTGGGGGCAAAGAGAAGGGGAATTAGCAGGGGATATGCCAGCATCTCAGCTGTGATTAGATACACGTGTGGTGTCTCCCAGAAGGACAGGCCCAGTGTTAATATGATGTAAATATGTAGGTGAGACTGAATCCTCCCACCTAGCAAGGGCCAGATTCCAAGAGACAGGCGGAAGAGACAGGTGGGGGAATTCCCAGCTCCTCAAGCACAGGAAGCCTACTTGGATCTCCCTAGTATGAATTTGAACCAAATAAAATGGTCATTTGATAGGTCAAAAATGGTCAGATGTCAGCAGTTTCACATGGTTCAGCCTAATAAGGTCATGGCCTACCTCCTTAGGAATAAGTGACTTTTCTACTGGGCCTGGCAGTGTTTTAAGGTTTTGCCAAGCTCTACACACCATTATTTAGTCTAGAGATAATACACTGGCAGCCCCGGGACGAAACCAGCCCACACGCCTGTTTCGTTTGGTCCAGGTAGTAGCCAGTCCCCAAGGACAATGACCATCCATTCTGTCCCTCTTTCCTAGACACACACGCTACATCAAAAGCTGGAATCCGACTCTCCTTCCTTTAAATCTGGGCTGGCCTGGAGACTTTCTTGACCAAAAGAATGTAGTGTTAATGACATTCTGGGACTTCCAGGCAGGTCTAGTAAGCCTGCAGCTTCTACCTAGAACTGCTGGAATACTCTTGGGGGAGCCAACACCATGCAAGAAGAGCAACAACCCTGGGACCTCCATACTGGGAGGAAGCCCAAGCCACCTGAAGAAGCCCTTGCAGGATGAAATCCCAAGAGGAGAGAGTGGTCAAGTTGCCTGGAGGCACCAGACAAGTTCGGGGGAAGCTACAGGCTAGAAGCCTAGACTCCAGCCCCTGCTGTTCCAGCTGATGCCACTGGGGCAAAAACAGGACTCTTGAAAGCTCCCAGGTGATTCTAATGGCAACAACATTTGAGAACCACTGGGTTGAAACCACTCACTACAGGGACGAGACAGTGCAAGACAAAAATAAGGTTGAGCTCTTACGCCCGAGGCATGCTTTCACAGGAGAGTTACACCGTAAGAACAAGCAAAGGAGTCCTCCTGTCTCTGTTGTCCATGCCAATCCCCCCGTAACACGTGGCTTAACCTGCAGAACGTTCCTGAAATGCTCGCTCCCTTCCCCCAGCACCATGCACTTCTTGGATGATGTGGGCTTCCCCTGGAGCAAGTGAGCGTCCCAACAGGCCCAAGTGGAAGCTAAGGCTTTTTAGGACTTAACCACAGAATGTCACCAATACTGCATTCTCTTCACCAAGAAAGCCACTACACTTTCTCTTCACCAAGGATAGTCCCAGATTTAAGGGGAGAAGAATCAGATTCCAGTTCTTGAAGTGGTGGGCAGCAAGCGTGTCCAGGAGGGAGAGAGGAAATGCACAGCAGCTGTCTTTGAACATGGGTGACCCCACCAATGACACAGGGATTTTGGACTCAGTCCTAAAAGACTGATTCTCCCCTTATCCCCAGTCCACTGGGCGCCCAGGTGACCCTGTCCTCTTGGCCACGCCTGGTCAAAGAGAAATGGATGCCCTTTTTCACTGTTTACATCCTCCAGACTCTCCAGAGACTCAGGGACTGTGTGGAGTGGGGCTGGGGTGTTTCCAGGGTGGGGGAGAGGGCAACCAGGAGCCTCCAGGGCTCAGAAGCAAGATGGGGCCCATGAGCACACCCTCAGTGCCTGCAGCCTCTGTTACGCTGTCACACAGCCACGTATACCGCACCAGGGAGGGTGCCTCTGCATAAGAGGATTTGCCAGATAACTGGTGTCTACTCTGTACACCCAAAGAGGATATCTATTTAATGCTTAGCTTCCGAGTGGAAAATCTTTCTAAAATGGCTTAGGTGTTCTGGGTCCTCTTCAGCCAAAAACAGGAATCACATTTAACAACATGGGTAAGAAGAAACGTGGGCTTGGAGTCACGTGGATCTGGCTTCACTGACTTAGTTAATCACATCAGTGTGCACGCCCAGCCCCAGGCATCCCTCCAGCTTCTCTCCTCCACAGGGGCTGAGGTTTTCCGAAGGAACTGCTCCAACTCTATGCCATTCCCCTGCTCAATAACTTGCAATGGCTCCTACTGCCTACCGATTAGATGCAAACTTCTCACCCCAGCAATCAGCACCTTCTATAATCTGGCCCTGGCCTCTCTCTCTCAGCCCTCCTGCACCCCTGTCTTCTAACTTTCTGAAGGACTCTATGAATATCTCCTGGGCTTACCTATCTTGATACCTCTCCACCTAGAACAGTCTTAAAGCCCAGGCCCACCAGGAGATATATGCCTATAGTTCTAATCCATCTACAGCCCCCATTCTCAAAGTCCTGATGATGACAGCTGTTCAGTGGCATTGGCATTTGACACTTTGAATTCACCGTCTTTTCCTGTTAATGTCTCTTCGTGAACATACATCTGGTCTTCATCCAATCCTCTAACAAATACTTGTGGACCTACTTTGTGCTGGGCACCTTCTTCAATCCAGCACTTTAGCCATTCCCCTCTTTGGGTCTTGACTGGGCCCATCCTTTCTCCAAGATTTGATAAGCATGCAGAAAGAAAATCTACGTTCCATTCAAGTTTGTCCCACAGGATCCCTGTCCCAGTGCCTGACACGGAGCTTATTACAAGGCAGGTACTAGACATTTGCTGAGCAAGTGGATGGATGCACCAACATTTCTCTGCAAACTGCTCCCTGCTGAGGGAAAGACTGCACAGGGAGACCGTGACTGTCACCCTCACCTGGTGGCCACAGGACACACCGGGGGCAGGGTCTGAGCACTTACTCCAGCGAAGCACTGTGAAGTGTTGCAAGTAGTGAAGTAACAGTTCCCATCCTTATGGGCATAATGGGATGAATCAACAACAGAAAGCAATCCACTAGAAAGGCACAATAGTAAGACCACTTCCCAGAGGGAGGAGAAGAGAGAAATCACTCTGAAATAGATCTGTACTGTACCTTACATCAAATCTTTCTCAGGCTGCAGCAATAAGGTGGAAACCCCAGTGGCTTTGCAGACACTCAGACTCAGATTTGAAATCCAGTTCTCCTCCTTACAAACGGCATGTCCTTGGGCAAATTATTTAATCTCGTTTAGTGTCCTGACCTGTAAAATGGGGCCTCCGTCATGGACTTGTAAGGGTTTGCTGTGATAAAATATGCCAAGTACCCAGCATCTGGCACTTAGTAGGTGCCCAACAAACCTTAAGGTCTGCTCTCACGTGTGTGGCACTTCATGTTTCTGTCCCTTGTAGCTAGCACAGTACTGCGCATGTAACCAGGGTCAAAAATGTGTCAAGGAGAATACGTTGACCAAGTGGAATGTGAATTGTAAACAAAAAAGGAAAACTAGGAACCTGGTCTCTGGGCAGACTCTGCCTAAAGACGTTGAAAAGCCCTGTGTTTATTTTGTCAAGTTGCCATGGCAGCACTGATGCTCCAGCCAGCTCCAGGGTTAGCAAGGATCAATTTATCTTGTAACCATGGAAATTCCGGAGGTTCGATGGGATCCAGAGGGGAAGGCAGACACAGTTCCTCTCCACTCTAGAAATAAATCCCGGAAAGCCTCCTTAGTTTTCGTGCAGCTAAAACCATCATTATCTAAAATGATGTTTACATGACAATATTTATAAGTATGGATTTAGGCACAGGAGATGTAAAATCAGGCCAAAAAAAGGGGGGGGCAGCAATGCTCAGAAGGGCAATTAGCATCATGGAACACTTAAGAGGCTGCCAGAGAGCCAGGATCTAGACCCCCAGAGCTAACTTGGGGCTTCTGCATCTTTTATGCTTCCATTTGCAGACTCGCTGTCCACACACAGTCTGGATTTTGCTGTCACTTTTCAAACAGGCTTCCACTACAGGTGAAGCTTGGGGAAAAAGAAAGCGTCCCCTCAAATGTCATTCCCTGTAAAAGAAAACAGCAGCAGATGGGGTCCCTGCCACACACCATGGAGACAGAAGGGAGCCTGGGTGGCCTCCCGATCTCTCTGCTCCCACCATAACCAACCAACACAACCAGAGAAGTTGCAAGACGTGGCTTTGGTAGATTGGGACTTACTCTCCCAAGCCAAATGCAGCCCTTCCCTGGAGCCAGCTCTGGGTCTTCTCTAGGGCCCCAGACGGATGGAGAAATCCGGGATTTGTCTTTGTTCTGGCTCAAGAGAGTTAAGGCACAGAAACAGAATCATCACCCAAGCTCAGAACTCCAGGGGATTCCGCTGGAGGAAAATGCAAGCTGTGAGAGATGTGTTTTTCCGGCCATTGGGAGCCTGTTTGTGTCGGGGGAGGGTTCCGGCCGCGCTGGGCACTGGTGGCTCCATTAGACTCTACACAAAGCAAAAGAGGACAAATGACCGCGGCGCGTCGACGCTTGGCGGCTCACGGTCACAAAGCGGGTCTCAGCGGTTTCCTCGGGCGGCGGCAGAGGGGGCGCTCGAGGTCACCGGCAAGAGACAGATTACCGGCGCCTCGGCAAAACAGAGCGAGGAAGAGCCAGACTGTGCGCCCATCCGCGTTCGCGCGGGTCTGAGCCGCCCCGGTCTTGGAGGGCTCCGGGACCCCAGAAGGGGGACAGCAGTGGGGGATGGGCAGGAAGGGGGCGACTCGGGTTGCCCAGGCTCCTCGCAGCCTCCCTGCCAGAGAGAGGGGCCCGAGTGGGAACAGCTCGAGCCACGGGGGTGCGGGGCGCGCAGCCCGCCCCACCCCGGGAGAGCCGCGATCGCCGCCCCCGACGCGTGCACCAGGTGGGGGCGCCCGGCTCGGGACAAAGCACCGGGACGCGGATCGAGGGAGGGCGCCACTGCCCAGTCCCAACGTGGAGGGCGAGACCGTGGCCCCGAACCTCCCCAAACTTGGTGGCCAGGGGCGCGTGGAGAGGGCGCCCCGTTACCTGCGCGGCCATAAAGGAGAGATCCATGGTGTCGCTGTCGCCGCGGCTGTTGCTGCCGCCCGCGCTCGGGTCCTCGCTGCTGCAGCTGCCGCTGCGGGTCAGCAGCCTGCACAGTTGGCGGGGATCGGGCGGAGCAGCTAGCGTCCGGTGCCCGCACGGCGCCCTCGGCTGTCTCTGGGCTCCTGGCTCCAGACAGCTACTGGGCGGAGGGCTCCGAGCGCGGGGACGGGCGGGGCTGGGCGGGGCTCGGGGAACGGGGCGCCCCTCCACGTGACCACTCCCGGCCCCACCCCCGGGGCGGGGTCCGTCAGAAACCCCAAGCGCTCACAATCGCCTCCCTTCGTGCGCGGGATGGGGAAACTGAGGCCCGAGGCCGCCCCGCTGGTTGGTGCAAAAACCAGCCTGGAACCCAAGTCCTGAGCTGTTGGCGCCCCGCCCCGTGCAGTTGAGCCCAACCCACCCGGGGCTGTGGGCAGCTCTCTCTTGGGGCTGACACGTTATCCAGTGCCTGAGGACCAAGATCGGAGTGACCTGGCTTTCCACGCCAGCGCTCCTCCCAGGGTCCAGTGTGCTCCCGGCTCGGCATCTGGGCAGAACGAGGTTTAATCCTAGCTCTGCTTTGTTGTGCGGCTTGAACAAGATAGTGTCTTTGAGCCTAGATTTCCTCATCTGTGAAAAGACAATACAGAACCGAATAATTAAATGAGATAGGAAAGACAGCACGCGTTGTCCTCAATAAATGAGAGCCCTAACATGGCTAATCATGCAATAGAGATGAGGCTGTGAGTGGTGTCTTCGAGGACTGCACGGTGCTCAAGTTGCACAGCGGGTACTCTATGGCTCTCAGCTCAAACAAGTATCGAAAATCATGCAGATGCCACAGTTCAAGTAAGGGGAAGAGTGTGTGTGTGTGTGTGTGTGTGTGTGTGTGTGTAGAGTACCACTGGTCCCTTCGGGTGGTATCTCTTCCAGGTACTTCACACTCATGGTCATCATGAGCCTCTGTGAGGGGCAGCCTGGGACTCCCAGACTTTGTCACAGGCAAGGAAGCTGTGGCACAGGGAGATGGAGGGGTTTGTTCAAGGTCCCGCAGCAGCTGGGGGCCCAGCAGGGACTGTGGCTGTGGGAATGGGACCAGAACCTCACTGACTCATAGAAGGCTCTCAGTGTCATCTTTCCTATAACTTTCCTTTCTTTCCCTTCCCTTCCTTTCTCTCTCCTTTTCTACCTCCTCTTCCTTCTCTCCTTCTCCCCCACCCGCCCCCCACCACTTTTTTCTTTCTTCTCTCTCTTCACTTTTCCCGTCATGCTTGCCTCCTCCCTTCCTCCTCTGGTCTCTAAATCTTCCAATTCCCTGGTCCTCCCTTCCCTCCCTGTTTTTAGTCACTACTGTGCTCGCCACACCCATCATTCCTGCCACCTCCCAGCGTCGTCCACACGGGGCATGCCTAAACAGTCCATGCCAACAGCCGTCCACCTCCTTCCATCCTTCCTGTGGCCAATAGCAGAGCAGCCTGCCCAGGACTGTCCAGGGCTCCCCGTCTGCTGTGAGAAATATGTACATTTATTGTGAAGTGTCATACTTCACAATCAAAGGGCATGTATGTTGTGTGTGTGCAATTTGAAATATAATATAGCCTTGCATAGGTTAAAAAAATGGAACAATAAAAAACAGTCTTCAAATCCTACTATGTATCCCTCCTAAGGCATCTCGTACCTGCCCCGTTTCCAGGGTCACCTCCATCCTATTTAGTATTCATTCATGTCAATTCTCTTGCTTTCCTTTGTAGTTTTACCTTTATAGTTTGCCTGCTTTAACCCTTTGTAGAAAAATTAAATTGCTCTAAATTTGTTCTTCCATGTCTTCTCTGTTCCTTTCTCAGCATTGTTTGTGTAGTTGATGTCCATTGTTTTTCAGTGCTACACAATGTCCCATTTGTATGTCTTTATCACAGTTTTTACTGATGCACTAGCCCTTTGATGGATACTTTGGTCATCTCCAGGTTTTCTGATAACACCAAAAAAAAAAAAAAAATGCTGCTATGAACACTCTCGATCTTGTCTTCGGATGCACAGGTGCAAGGGGTCCTCAGGAATGGAACAGTTGGGTCTTGTGGTCAGCTCCTCTGTGCTTTTATTAATTGATGCCCATTGTTTTCCAGTTTCTGATTTCCAAGGCGGTTTCACCCATTTTATTGTCCTACCTATAGCAGGCATGGGTTCTTATTGCTCCACATTGACCAACACTTTGTATTGTTAGGATTTTTTTTTTTAATTTTGCAAATATGATATGATGAAGTACTGTTTCATTCGGATTTGATCCTCATTTCTCTGACTACTAATGACACTAAGCATCTTTTACACACCTATTGATCAGTTTCATTTCCTTTGATGAGAAATGCCTTTCATCAGGTCTTTTGTGCGTGTTTTAAAATTTTGCTTATTTTTTTTTATTGACTCAGGAAAAGTATGTAGATGTTTTAGATACTAGTCTTGTTAGTTATAGGTTTTTAAATATCATCTTTCATGTTTACATTTCTTTTCACTCTATTATATATTTTCATGAACAGAAGTAAATAATTTTAATTTGGTCAAAATTTATTAACATTTTCTTTTATAGTTAGCCCTTGTTTAATAAATTATTTGCCAATTTGAGACCATAAAGATATTGTCCTGTAGTATTTTAGTAAAAATTTAAATACTTTTTCTCATATTTCAGCCTTGTATAACTGATATATTGTGTGTGAGGCGGGAGTAAGGAGGCAATTTTATTTTTCTCATATTAATGTTCAATTATTCCAGCCCCATATTGACTAGATCGGCTCTTTCCTGTTGATCTGCAACACCAAATTTGTCAGGTGTCCGTCTAGCCATGAGTCTGTTTCTAGGCTGTTCTGTTCCATTGGCTGTTCATCTGTTTAATACTAATGCTATTCTGATTTAGTTACTTTAGTTTCATGCTAATCCATGTATGGGACAGCAGGTTTCCTCACTGCGTTCTTTGTTTCCCTACTACCTGTGGCTCTTTGCTCTTTGGATACATTTTAGGGTGACCTCATCAGCTGCCCCAAATAACCTGGACTTGAACACAATTCTATTAATTCTTTTTGGGTATCATTGACATATTACAGATAACAAATATTTCTCTTCAAGAACATGCCATATCTCTTTATATGCTTAACTTTTCTTTAGTATGTCTATATAAAAATCTTGCAAATCTTTTGCTGAAATCATTTCATGGTGCCTTTCTTAAAAATTTTTATTTTGAGATGATTATAGGCTCATGTGCAGTTGTAGGAAATAATACAGAGATCTCATGTACCCTTTATCCAGTTTTTCCCAATGATAACACCTTGCAAAATTAGAGTACAGTATCGGCCCAAGGATACTGACATTGATATAGTGAAGATACAGAACATTTCCATCAGCACAAGCATTTCTCACTTTGCTCTTTTACGAGGAGACCTACTTCCTCCCTGCCCCACCCACTCTTTAACCAGGGGCAACCACTCATCTGCCCTCCCTTTCTATAATTTTGTGATTGCAAGAATGTTATAAAAGAATCATACAGTTTATACTCTTTTGAGATCAGCAGTTTTCACACAGGATAGTTCCCTGGAGGCCCATCCAGATTGTTGCCTGTATCAATAGTTTGTTCCTTTGCATTGCTGGGTATTATTCTATGTTATGGATGTATCATAATTTCTTTAACCATTCACCTGTCAAAGGACATCCTGGTCGTTTCTAGTTTTTGGCTGTTATGAATGACACTGCTATAGACATAGTGTATGACTTTTTGTATAAACATGTCTTCACTTCTCTGGGATAAGGGCCCGGGATCATGTGGTAGTTACAGTTTTCATTTCAAAGATACTGCCAAACTGTTTTTCACAGTGGCTGTAACATTTTACATTCCTACCAGCAACGTAGGAGTGGGTTTTCCATATCCTTGCCAGTATTTGGTGTTGTGATAGTTAATTTTATGAATCAGTTTCTATCGAGTGCCCAGATAAAACATTATTTATGGGTGTGTCCCTGAAGGTGCTTCTGGATAAGGTAAGCATTTGAATCAGTGGACTCAGTACAGTAAATTGGCCTCTCCAAGGAGGGTGGGCATCTGTATTAGTCTGTTCTCATGCTGCTAATAAAGTCATACCTGAAACTGGGTAATTTATAAAGGAAAGAGGTTTAATGAACTCACAGTCCCACAGGACTGAGGAGGCCTCAGAATCATGGCAGAAGGCAAAGGAGAAGCAAAGTCACGTCTTACAAGGCAGCAGGCAAGAGCTTGTGCAGGGGAACTTCCCATTTGGAAAATCATCAGATCTCGTGAGACTTAATCACTACCACTAGAACAGTATGGGGGAACCACCCCCATGATTCAATTATCCCCATCTGGCCCTACCCTTGACACGTGGGGACTATTACAACTCATAGTGAGATTTGGGTGGGGACACAGCCAAACCATATGAATGTCATTCATTTATTGAGATCCTGCATAGAACAAAAAGCTGGAAGAAGAAGGCATTTGCTTTTTTTTTTTTTTTCCCCTACTTTACTACCTGAGCTGGGGACGTCTCATCTCATCTTGTCCTGCTCTCAGACTGGGATATAGATATGCACCGTATCTATATCCTCTGATTGTCAGGCCTTCCGATTTGGACTGAATTACACCACCAGCTCTCCTGGGTCTCCAGTTTGTGGATGGTAGATTCTGGGACTTCTTGGCCAACTCTTCATAATAAACCTCCTCTTATTTATCTCTAGGAATGTCCTACTTGTTCTTTTTCTCTGGAGAAATTTGACTAATATGAGCATCGTCCTTTTTTTTTTCTTTATTTTAGCCATTATGATAGGCATGACATGATATCTCATTGTGGTTTTACTTTATGGTTTCCTAAGAAAAGGCTAACAATGTTGGACATCTTTTCAGATGCTTATTTGCCAGTGGCATATCCTTTTTTTGTAGAATGTCTATAGATGCAGTCATACAACTGTACTCTTCTCTTCGTTTGACTCTTTTGTTTGGCATGATATTTTTGAGAATCACCCATGTTGTTGCCTGTGTCAGTAGTTCCATTTTTACTGCTGAATAATTTCTGATGTGTGGATATAGCACAACTTGTTTATCAATTCTCCTGTGGACGGGCATTTGG